ATGCTAATGTTAAAAATATAAATAAATAACAAATAAATAAATGCACCAAAATCATCAGGGTAAGACAAAGATAAAGTAATGAAGGTCAAAAACCTCCAAAATATGCTTCCAGGAAAGACTGGTAAGGGTCAGATTCTAGCATGGAAAAAAAGGCATCTGTTACTGATGTCAATGGCTATAGTAACTAGTGACGCTTCTGCATTCACACACACAAGCCACATAATACTTTTGGTCAGTATAACTGCACAGCCAAGGACTTGCTCACTCCCCGAATATCTCTTTACCCATGTGATCTAAACATCCCCCCTCCATGCTACTACAGAAAAGACTATCACCAAGCACTGCTATGCTGAGGATATAAGGTCCTTGTACTGTCAAGGCTTTTCATAGTTTCCTCCTTCCCAATTACACATAGCATAACTAAATGCACTTATGCTATTGTAGAGAAGATTTAGGCTTTTGTGGAACCTGGGGGAACCCAAAAAGTGGCATTTTGGCTTTTTTTGTGTGTATCTATGCAAGATGTTTACTGTGCAGTTGACTAATGAACTGAGCAGTAAATGTCTCAGCATCTACATGTGTGTTCCTATTAGGGTGCACAAAACTAATAAACTCCACAGCAGGGTAGTACTGGTAGCATGTTTCTTAAAACAAGTACTACCCTGCTGCAGAGATTTTTGTGAGCAGCAGCCATAGGCGGTGGAAGACCAGGGCTAAAGGGGCTTATCCTCCTCAAACGCGGAGCAGCAGTGGCAGCGGAGAGCGCCATAGGGCAGCCCAGGCGCAGGCTCTGTGTGACTGAAGCAGGTGGGGAGGGGTGCACACAGACACGCAGCTGCAGCCTGGCTATGTGTAGAGCACTGCCCACTACAGCAGGTAAGTCTGTCGTAGGGAAGGGGTTGTGGGGGGCAGACCAAGGCCCACACAGTGAGGAAGGGAGTGGGGCACAGGCAGGGGCAGGGCGGATCATGGAACACTTGAAGCCTAGGCATGTGGAACCGTTTCAGAGCAGCCCTGGGCTAGCAGGCTGACACCCGCCCCCCCCAAGTCTCCTGCCAACTCTGGCTGCTCTGACCAGGCTCCACATGCTCCTCATGAATAAACTCGGGAGCAATAATCTCCAGAGTTTATTTATGCACATTAATCACACACATACACATGCCCTTTCATGTAACTAAAAGTATGTTTATTACAGTCGATTACCTTTTTCTAACAAACTTTTTCTGAAGAATGCTGATAAGGATTTTTACTTACCAGTACAGTACTGTTCTAGTAGTGCAAGTCTTTAATCATTCCACCCCAGCTGTGATAGTCTATATAATAATTTGGTGAAACAATTGTATCATTGTTCTTAACAAACCAAAAAAAAAAAAGATGCTCAGCCTCTCCAAGAGAAATTATTCTGAAATCTTACTGTTAACAGTTGCATTTAAAAATGTCATAGCTGTTATCACAAGTTCAACCACAGTATGGAAAAGAATTCTAATAGAAATTAAAGTACCTCTCTAGACCTAAAGCATTAGGTAGGTAGTTGCATAAGGCATTATTACTTGAAAAAGGAACAAGGAGATACAAATACCTGACAATATGGCTATCTTTTGCTGCCTTGATTGTCTGAAGCTGTGAAGCAATTACAGAAAGAACCTCTATATCTATTCGATTGAATTCATCAAAACAACACCATGCTCCAGACTGAACTAGTCCACAGAAAAGTTTTCCCATCATCTTTAAAAAAGGTACAGAAATTAGTTTTGTTAATTAAAACAGTAGAAAAATGTTAGATGACCTCCCCCCTCCCCCCCCGACTGGCCTTTGAAAATCTGCCATGTTCTTTAAGCATGAGAGAGAGTATGAGAGCATGTGAGAGAGAAATGATCTGACCATAGGGAATAGGAAGGGAGAGAGAGACTGTTCTCCAATTCTTATCTAAATCAATCTGGATCCAAAATTGAATGCTTATATCTAAATATAACTCTTTTCACTTTCTCTTGGACAGATTAAATATACTATTTCCATAATCAAAAATAGTTTTTAACACAGAAATTAATATATTTATAGTATAGCTCTAAGAGAAAAATATTTCTTTTGAAGATGGGATGCAGTTCCAGGAAAATCAGATATGGTTCATAGAAAAGTTGTAAATTAGGATTTAAATATTCTCTTTGGTAATTTGTAATACCGTTCTGCTGATTAGTTAAAAACCTGAAAGACCTAATGCAACTGGCAGTCATGTTTCAAAGAATTATGCTTATTCTGCTTTATAGTATTGACCTGTTACAATATTTGACATGAAGAACATGTTATCCCTTACCTTATAATCCAAACCTTCAAAACAGTTAAAAACCACACAGAATTTTCCTAAGGCCTAAGGAAAAGAATAATGTTTTAGAGTAGATATAGCGTATTTCTTGAAACATTAAGATAAGCAAATATAAATGAGGTTGTCCAGAGAGATATAAGAACTGTTGAAAGCACATCTTAGAAAAGTTATTTCCAATGGACAATTCTTTATGAAGTACTTTAAAAAAATAAGTAATTCCATTTTACATCAGGTCTGATTCACCATTTATGTTTTCAAATAAACACTCTTTAGGATATTAAGGCAAGTTTCTACAAACTTTTGAAAGCCGATCCCCTCTTTAGGAAATGAAGCCATCCCTTTCCCTCTGGAACCCTATGTTAAAAGCTTCCTCATCTTCAACATTTCTTTCCTAGCAGCTTTTAGAGTAGAAAGACATCTTATACTTTGGGGAATATTGGAATAAATTTTGTAGATCATCAGAATGCAGTATTTCTTCTTCCTTCATGTTATTAAAGTATGAAAGTCATTGCCAACAGATGTTGTGGAATCTGACCTTTTAGTCAAATTCAAAAAGGGACTGGACAAATTCTTAGAGGAAAGATGCATCAGCAGCTATTGAGCATGGGAATTAGGGATACATGGCACATCTACACAAGATGCTTTACTCAAGATTAGAACAAATTACTATGCAGTAAGTGTCACCATCCACACATGCAGACACTTACTGCACAGTAATTTACTCTAATTTCGAGTAAACTTGCTACCTGTAAATACAAGTAGAAAATTTCTTCAGGAGTAATTACTGTGAAGTACGGCACATGTAGACGGCTGATCGCAGTCACGGGGCTGGCACTGGGAGATTCCCATCTCTCAGAGCCAGCCTCGCACTTGCAGGGTAAGTATCTCCCAGCACCGGCCCCATGACTATGGAGCCAGTGCTGGGAGATAAGAATTTCTCTGATAAGAAGATTCAGAAGGCTCCAGAGCTGCTTGAAAGCAGGGACTCTCTCTGAACATAGCCCTTGCTAACAGGTAGTGGAGTTCGCAGAGCTACCAGCACATGCAGAGGTCTGCTGAAGTGCTGGTGAGCTCTGAAAAAAACCCAGCGAGTTAGAGCCTTAATATGTCAGTAATCCCCCACCTCAGATAACAGAAAGAAGTGTCAAAAAACCTCAAGGTCATCTCCACAAGGCAAATAAAAATTGAAGTTATAAAAATTGGTTAGGAGAAGCTGAAACCCCAACCTGTGCTAGTGCTGAAAGTAAAAAATATGGTACTTGAACTGAAGGGTGAGGCTTAGTCCAGGAGCCTTCAACAATGCTAGTCCACTTCCAAATTTTAAAAGTGTAACGTATTATTATCAGAAAGGATGATATGGAATAGAAGAATGATTGGCTACAAGTTTTCCAGAATTAAATTAAATCAATAGACCTAGTTATTTCTCTGTCATGTCAATATATGGTACTTACTTTTGATAGATCTTTGACAGTCTCTGTTTTTCCTGTGCCAGCTGGACCAGCAGGACAGCCTCCAAGATTCAAGTGCAGTGCTCCAGTAAGTGTTAACCAGCATCGGTCAGTGAGGGGCGTAATAACCAACCGAGAAGAACAGCCCAAGTACTCGTAGCCATAAACAAAGAAGGCATTACCTTGAACTACCCTACATGTGGTATTTATTTCACTCCATTCATAACGCAATTGCCTGAAATAATATTTTTGCATCAGAATCTTGGAAAGAGTTGACTATATCTAACAAACTGCAAAGGAAAGAATATTATACCTATTCAGTACATGAAAAAATATGATTCTTTAACTGTAGGCAAAAATAGAGCTGAAAGTGCAGTAACAGTCAAACCAAAAGAGAATAACCAGAAATAGGAGAAAATTAAGACAGCAAAACCAATGATGGTATATATTCAAATTAAGGCATCACAATACTGAATACATGAATACAGATCTGTCTGGCATCAAGATACCCGTGAACTTAAATATTTAATCCCAGTTCTACTACTGAAAACTATAAATGCTGAATAAGACAAACCACAACACTACTGCTAATAATATGAATTTTACATTGGACACATCCCCCTCCATGGCCACTTTTAATTAACCATTTTGTATGGATGTTCAGACATTAGGTCATTATCAAATGATTTACTAATATCCATGACTTCTGTACATTTATTCTGCAATACCATTATATAAAAAAAATCCAAGTTGGTTCAGCAGCCTAATGAATTGTCCAAAAATCATGGGTGAAAGAAGTAATAACTTGTTGACATTGCACAGAAAAGAAAAGGGTTCTATATCAGAAGTCTCCACCCTGTGCTTTAACAAGCAAAAAAAAACAACCCTCCTACCAGTATCTTTGGCTTCTTACAGATACTCATCTCCAGTAGAGGATGGCACCATATAACTTTTAAAAAGGACTGCACTATTCAAATATGACACCTTGCTCTACCCTGTAAAAACACAGTAAAATATAGTACCAAGAATTACACTGTTTTATTCCTTTATTTGTATTACTTATGTTGACCTGACATACATTTTCCCTGATGACCAGAGAATTAAAAAACAAGGGGGGCATTACCGTGCATTAAGTTTAGTACTTGTATAACCAAGTACTAAATCAATGTACAATATCAGTAGTTCTGGCACACACGGTTTTCAAAGACACTAACTGTGTAGTAGCGTAATACTACCGCACAGTAGTGTATTAGCATGAGTTTTACCCAGCGCATAACTGCACAGTGTTATTAGGCTACTGCACAGTTAGCATTTTGTGTAGATGCACCCATGGTGTGCAAGTGAAAAATGAAGTATGTTTTCCTGAAACATAAATATTACACACAACAGTTCAGAATGGGATTTGAAGGGATATACAAATAAGGCATGGGGGGGCCAAGTACTGAACAAGAGGAAATAAGATATTAGATATATGCTCATTCTTACGTGGACTTAGGGAGGGGTGGTCATGAAAGACTGTATCATAAACCAGGGGTGGTCAACCCCTGGCCTGAGGGTTAGATCTGGCCTGCAGCACCATGTCATCCATGCCATGAAGCTCCCCACTGGCACCGCTCCCTGCTGCCAAATTTCTGGACCTCTGGGGAGCCCCAGGGCCCTGAATGCTGGATTGGGCACCCTGCATGTTGGATTCATCCCAGCATACAGGCTGGGTTAGGGTGGTGCCAAGGCTGCAAGGCCCAATCCTGGCACATATGGGGCTGGGAGAGGGCAGTTCTGGGCCTGAATCCTGGTGCATGGGGGCATGAGGGGACAGTGTCGGCCCCCCAGGGACCAATTCTGGTAGGCGGGGACAGAAGGAAGCAGTGCCAGGCCTCATCAGGGACCAGTCCTAGCATGCTCGGGTGGAGAGGAG